CGAACTTTTTGCGGATGTAATTAACCGCGATATACTTTCAGTGTAATTAAAATTACGAAATGCGTAAAGAAACTAACTTAAAATATGCAGCGTGTGTGCAAAAGAATATAATTAAGCGAATATTGTTTTTCAAAATATCCGTTATGACCTGCTTAATTATCCGTTGCATACCACATTGCATATAGTGTGTACTATAAAGAGCCGGAGCATCAAAGTGACGAGCTTTCATTTGGCAACACCAAAATAATTAACCAAGTACAGATGAAAGCTTTGTCATCTGTTTCAGAATTTCATATTCGTGAGGAAAACAAAATTGCGTCAACCGTAATTAGTAAAACAAAAGATAGTAAATTATTATCTTTGCTAAAAAAATTTATTATTAGTAAATTATGATGTTGATCGCATAATAGAAATTACATATAGCCGTACATCTCACAACAATTAATTTTTATCTACAAAGTAAACTTTTTGTAGATAACTATATTAAATATTAATTTATCTTGTATACAATACATATGTTGCAAGAGCGATGGTATGGTGTGCATATACATGTATATTACCTATTATATGTAGATATCAATGTACACATAATAACATCAATTTCATGAGAAATAGCGAAATATTATTATATATTATTTATTGTATATTAATGTTATTGTATATTAATGAAATTGATAATATGATATGTAATTCATGATGAAACTGCTATTAATTGCATAACTATGTCCGACCACGTGACTCGATATTGCATCAAGATATAATTCTTGTTAATTACAATGGATTTTCGCACCTCTCACGATTATACGCCACGTGATACTTAAACTTTGCTCCATATTTATATGCACATATAAAGAATTTATTCAAATAAAATTAACATAAAGATATATACAAGCCTTGTATATTTGTGTGCGTGCGTGTGCGTGCGTGCGTGACAACAAATTGATAATCGCATTACTAAAAACTTTTTGCTAAATGTAATTTAAATGTGAAGCGGTACACGTCTATTGGATGATCAGTTAAATAAATCTGTAAAAAAGAGTAATTTGATCGATATAATAACATATTTATAATTACATTTATCAATTTGTTTCACAATCCTGATAATTTGTTTAAATAATATTACACAAATTTGAACAACTTAATAACTCTATCTAGAATTGTAAATAATATAATATGAGGTGGGGTAAATAAATATATAATTGTTTATATTGACCCATTTCGTGTTTTCTGAAGAATAAAATAATAATATCTAAAATATACATAACAAAATCCCTGTGTCCCATATAATTTTTAATATATAATAATTTAAAATTTTATATGATACTTGTTATCAGAGAAATATAATAATATATAAAAAAATGTTTAGTAATTTTGAGAATTTCATATTTCTCATTAGACTAACAATTCTCAATTTCTTTAAATAATGGAATGGAAATTTCACATTATTCATATTCTAATTTGCTAACAACAGTTTACAAAATAAAAAATATATCATGCTCCTCTCTTGATTTAATATATCATTTCGTAGATTATGTAATAGATAACAAGGTATTTTAGCAAATTTCTTTATGCAACAAGCAAGTTATTATTAGATATTAACTCAATTTTGTCTAACAATAAATAAAAAAGGAATATTCCTGATTTAGATTCAACATAGAATGCGACGAAGAAGCAGAAAAGATAGGGTAGCTGCGAAGCGTTTAATTACCCTGATCCATTCGAGTGTGAAACAGCCATTAATGATTCCTTCATTACAATGAGCTTTGAAATGTGTCGCTGTACATACCAAAGATTAAAGAACAAAAAAGCACTTTAGATCTTACTTTGAACATTATTATTCAGTCTCTAGAAATTAACATTAAAGTTCAATAAATCTTGTTACAACCTAACAACATGTATTTTTAAATGTATAATAGATTCTCGATAAAATTTTTTAATTAAATCTTTTGACAGAAAAATTTGTATATATAAAGACCATCATTTATCGCAACTTCTCTCGACAATTCTTTGATATTAAATAATTGACATGATAATTAGACATCAGATTAAAATTTTGTTGAAACAAAATCCACTTGAAATGTATTAAAAAATAGAATATTGTTACTCATTTAAATTTTCGAAACTTAATTTGTTTAAATCCTTTAATTTTCCTCATAACTTAAAATTAAAAATATTTATTATTTTTTTCACTTAATAAAAATATATTTAAAAAAAATTTCTTTTCATACCTATTCGAGCAGAATTAAAGTTAATTATTAAACTTAATTATTATTTTATAATCTTACAAAATTAAATCTCGCTTAAAAATGCACAAAAAAGTAGCTCAAAATTAAAATTTTTATATTATTCTAAAAAGAATTTTTATTGTTTTAAATAAAATATTATATTACAGTATATATTAATAATTTCAAAACATTAGAAAGTTAAACGAGATATTGATTTTTACAAATCATTGTAATAAAGCAACATAATTGTGGCATTGTTTCACGTAATTTTTGCTCGCGAAAAGTAATAGTTTTTGATATAATAGTGTATAATTGTTCTCTCTATTTTCCTTTCTCCCTCAGCCTCTTTTCTCTCTTTCTCTCTCTTTCTCTCTCATATATCTTTAATTAACTTCTTCATATCAGTACATAAGATCGAGCTCTCTAATCTTAGCAAAAATTACACTCCTCGAGTTTATTCTCCTCAATCCGCTGTTACTAGGAATCTGTTATGTGATATCTAATATCGCGCAAAATTCGATCCATTTTTAGCAATAATTTTGACGTTTTATCTTTCGCTCGCTGTTCAATGTATTTGACTGATCTATTTTTAATAAATTAAAAATTATCACCATTCAGATACACAGAAATCAATTCGAACGAGACAGAATCTCGATATCTCTCTTTCCTTCACGTTTTTTCCCTCTCTCTAGAGAAACTATAAATAAAAGGAGGCAGAATTGCGCGTGGTGGTGGCTCGCTGTCAATACCAAAGTTTGATTAACCGATTTAGCGAGGAAGCTTGGTTATATTTTGAATTAAACTCTGCACTGCGCGTGTACGCAGTTTCTACAGACAATACCGATTTATCACCGCGGCATTTGCATACTCGATAGATGCGTTAGCAACAGAGAATGCCTGGATAATCAAACATAAGATAACGATCCTGCGTAGGAAGTAATACGGTCATTATAAATCGACGGTAACATTCGCGTGTCGAGAATAAGGATATACGATAGCGATGTATAAATTTCCGATTGAATTGCTAGAATATTGCTTAAGCGATGGCATAATAAACAATCAATTAAAAAAAACACGTTCTCTACATTTATTAATCCTTTTAATATCCGATTCATGAAATGAACTAATAAAAGATGCACACAGAGGCACCCCAATAACTAACTGTAAAGTGTTTATATATATCTCTAAATTCTTCAAAAAAGAGTTTTGCATAACATTTCCCATGCGTATAATCTTTAAAACATAAAAGTATTTAAAATTGTTGAAAAATACGACTCAAGCTCCTGCACAAATGTTTGATATTAAATTAAAATACTACTTTAATATAATAATATCAAACATAAATTTTTATGTAATTGTATTTTATGTAATTGTAAGTATAACTCATGTACTTGAATTTCAATACGAGACATACCTAATTTATGTCATTCTCACGAATATAACGAATTCTTATCTTTAGGCTAAATAAATATCATTAACATTATAAGAGCAGAACATCGTGTAAAACATTGTAGAAATTAAAGATAATATATCAATAATCCTCATATCAATGAGAAGAACATATGAGTAAAGTTGGAGGCATTACATACATGTCGCTTCACTATTGGTCATTTAATCGATATATACCAGAACTACATAGCGGTTGGTCGCGACGTAAACAGGTCTTTATCATTATGCAGCTCTATCTGGAGTAACCCAGTTTGATTATTTATATCAATGAATGAAAAAAACGGTGCCTCTAAATGTCAGAACTTTGTTGATTACGTCAACAGCATAGACGTGGATGATTAATACTGCAAAGATGGAGACAGCTAAATCTCATTCATAATTCTGCAATCCTTGCATCTTATTCTCTTTTCTGTCTCTATTTTATGATTTGAGAATTATCGTGAGAAATATACACGCCTAGAAAGTAAAATAGATTTATATAATCGCACAACAATTAAATCGCGAGCACACTTATAACACATGTATAACATGCATAATGCGCAAAGAATGGAATGGTTGGCTAACTACAACGTGATGTACAATTAACGAAGATTGCTGAGATTGAAGATTGCATTTAATGGCCTTTATATAACATCAATATTTATAAATTAGCATCTGTATAAATGCTAAATCAACGATGTATTATAATAATTTCATATATACCTCCGCATTAAATTTTCGCTAAACTGATTACTTTAATTCGAGAAACAGTTTCAAAACCATCTTCGACAATTGTCTTTTAATTTAAAAATCAAAGAATCAAATATGTCAAATGTATCGATAAAAATTTATATATATAACAATTATAGTATAATCCTGCCCACATGTAATTTCACACATATCTGCAAAAATATTTTTTCTGTAAATTGAAAAGTAGCATTAAAAAGACAAATGGAATTAAAAGGTATATTTAAAAAAATATTAATATAAATCTCTATATTTTCAGATTTTCACACTAATGCGTAAACTGACTGTGAGTTATAGCAAATTGTAGTACGTTTGAATTCTCATCCATTGTACATATACTAAAATAATCGCAACCAGAAAATCCCATTCAATCCACTCCATAGCCATTCCGTTGCCGGAACTGTCCGAAGAACATAATCTCCGAACAGAGAAAACACATATTCTCATTCACAAAGAGCCGGCCATACAGCTTTCGGCTTTAACCGTTGGCACAGCCGAGCGTAAACAGCGTCGGTAATAATTCTCGACTGGTGAAACAACACTCTCGCACACGTCGCGCGGCATCGTGTCGCAACGCATCGCACCGCTAGTGTTTCCTACCTTCGTTCTCGTTATTTCCAATCAGGATCTCGGTGTTTTTGAAATCCGCCTCTCTGACCAAGTCCAATGGATCCTTAGGCAGGAAGACCCCGTCGATGGTGGGCGCCGACGGGAAGCCGAGAATGCCCCAATAACTGTTCCACTGTTGCACGGAGAGAGTTTTTGCGTCCACCGACCTCATGCAGGCCATAACACGTGCCGGGTTTTCTTGCAGCATTGTCGAATTGCATCCGCAATCGTCTACCAGCACTCGAGCCATCTCGTTTGCCTTTTCGCCGGTCATGTAACTCCATGGGGCGTTGAGGGTGCCACTCTGAAGGATACCTCGACGCACTAAACCTTGCGTGACCGGTGAGATGAGATGTAAGGACACTGAACTACCACCCGCAGACTCGCCAAAGATCGTAATCAAGTCGGGATCGCCGCCGAAGACGCGCGCGTTTTCACGAAGCCACTTAAGAGCCAAGGCCTGGTCCCAGAGGCCCATGTTACCCGGCGCCTCTTTCCGCCATAATGTCGGCATCGTAGACGTCCAGGGTGGCGGTGCCGCTCATGAAGCCGCCGCCATAGACCCAGACCAATATCGCCATACCGTTATTACCAACGTTGTCCGGTGACTCCTTGTGACGTAGACGCAACTTCTGCGGCACCCAAATGTTGAGGTAGAGACAGTCCTCGGAGATGTTGGTGTTAGGATTCCACATCTCCTCGCCCTCAAAGCCTGGAAAGTACTCGTAGCGCTCTTGATAGCAGCTATTGGGCAAGGTGGTAGCGTTCAATATTCCGTGCCAGGGCTCGATCGGTAGCGGCTTGCGAAATCGCAAAGGCCCAACCGGAGGTTTCGCGAACGGCACTCCGTAGAACACATGAACCTCACGATCGAGCACCGTGCGAGAGAGACCGCGCATCAGCCCACTAGTAGTCTCCACCACTAAGGACTCATGACCACCGTCTTGACTACCGTGCTGACCGGCAACGTTCGCTCGCGTGATGCACGCGCTATGCAGGCTCAAGCCTAACAGCAACAGCAGCAAAGAGGACGGACAGTTCATCCAAGAACTCATAATCAGACCGAATATCTTAACCGCACTCGATAAGGAACACAGTTTTGCTAATCGGTCAAGACAGACGTGTCTCGGAGTGTCTCTTCGAAAATGGAAATCTCTTCTGAACTATTTCGTCGACTATCGGTATATACTCCCGCGTGAACGTCGACGTTATAGGGAAATGAGCTCGTCGAGTTTTCACCCGACACACGTTGGCCGCGTCAGATTTTCAGAAGAGAGACGCTTCGGGCGTTGTCTCTTGTCGTTGTTGTTGTCGTTTTCGTCTTCGTCTTCTTGTCGTCACCGTCTGGGAAGGAGTTTCCTCTTATGCATACGGTGCATCGGAAGGATCGCGATATCGGACGGGAGATGCCGGAAGAGTGATTCTTTCTTTCGTGAAGAGTAAGGCGATTTTGAAGGATAGAGTTTCCTTAGGAATCGTCGATCTTGTTCAAGTTGCACTCAATGCACTTTATGTGTTGCTTTTTAGCGGAGAAATACTTTGCCATTCTATAAAAAGACACTTACCATGTTTTTACCGCTCTGTGCATTTATATTTGATATCGGTCTTTAAAAAACGATAACCTTCGCAATCCACTAATATCACAGATAAATAAATACGATTTAATGAATTCGTATTTATTGGATTGCTCGATTTGCCTAAGGATTGGCATTAAAATACATTGTGCATTAAACTAAAATAATAAAATAATTTTGCAATTGTGCTATCGCGATTACGCATTTAACTTTTAATTCTCGCGCAATAATTACGAACTCACGAAGGAGTAGAGATCAAAATACAAGAATGACTCATTTTTCATACAGTTATTAAGGATTATTATAAAAAAAAATAAGAATATGTTGAATCTCTTTTAATCATAATTCATTAGAAAATCACAGTTTGCACACAGACAACTTTATTCCTCCAAAATGCTCTACCCTTCTAAAAAAAATCATCTTTTGTACAATGATGCTAATCATTTGGATTACATTTGCTTTAAGAATATTAATAAATTAATTTAGTTGAGAATTAACTTCTTTATTTATATATAATAATTGTATAAGAATATAATGAAACAACAAATTTCTGTTCAATTACTTGAAATATCAATGCTAAAATCAAAATATTTTGTTAAAAGGTGAATCATACATTGAATTCCACAATCCAATATCAATATATTACACTGGATATTTCTGTTTGTTACAAAACTTTTATAGGTCATTTAAAAATAATATCCACGTAAAAAGATTTAGAATTGTCATAAAGCGTGTCCCATGGGCAACGTATCTACTAAGAGAAAGAGACTCAACAAGTTAGCGAATGGAAAGTCAACATTTCCGCAATGGAACAGTAATATTTCTTTTTCAATTCTCTAAGCCTATTTAAAAAAAGAAGAAGGAAATGAGATATATACACTTTGACAAATAAATCAATTCACTAATTAATAAAACTTAAAATGTTTGATAAGAAATAGCTTGATGTGACAATAAGAATAATTTATTATAGTTTTTACAGAATGCTTGAAAATAATCATAATATTATCACGTGTTATATTGTAACAAATTATATTACTTGCCATGATAAAACAATGATTATTATCTTGATAAATAGTTATATACGCGCGAGAGTCTGCAGTTTGACCAAAGGTAATTAATTTTTATTCGATTCTTTTTCTTTCCAGAAGGATTAAAACGAGATAGAAAGTTTATTATATTATGTTTAAAATTAATATTTTAACATAGAAGCAACCGTAACATAGAAGCGCGCGTTTCGATCACTAATCAAGTAAATTATGCTTCGCATGGATAATCGTATTCCTACTTCGCTTTCCGATTATCGCATTACATGACCGTTTGCGACACATGATAATAATTTCGTATTTCGCGAATCAATTTCTACTTCCGACTGTAGCATCCGCTGTAAACCACAATGCCGGAATACCGCACGGTGTCAATTGCAATAATACAGTCCACCACGAATCATCATTAAAGCTTCATGAACCAAAGATAAAATCCTGCGACGATGTATGCATACTATTAAACCGCTAAGCATCCATCACGCTTCGTACTATTTAAATATTTAAAACATCAAATTGGATATCTACAATTACTAAAAGTTTCGTCAATTAAGATTGACTAAAAAATCTCGTCAGCATAAGAAAAGAATTTCTCTTTGAAAAAATTACTTTATTACAGATTCTGAAATCTGTTTTTAGAACTACTAAGAGCTCATGTGTATCGATCAATTTATTAAATATAAATAATTGGTAAATACATAAATCTCATTTTTATTGTTTGCATTAGCACATTCAATGACTTTAAATTCAAATATTCGATCATTCGATATATCAGTAGTAGAAATAACATCTATTACTCAAAATTTGATTTTTAGTCATTTGTCACTTAGTTAATCTCATTTTTCTAATGATGCAAAAAAATAATTAATAATGTAAAAAAATAACACTTGCAATTAATTCCTTCGACGAAAAAAATTTTTGAACTTTCTACTGTCGAGCTGTTATTTTCTTCGGCTAGAGAACTTTTCTTTAGTTTACCATTGTAAAATTTGTTATACTTTTCTGGAAAAGAAACGATCAACTAAAAAAAGATCAATTAATTACAAAAGAATAGGAGGACATATTATATAAGGTAGGAATATAAGATATCGCGAGAGATTCCGAGAGAAAAAAAGAATATCTTAAAATTAATTCGGACTATTCTAAGGTTAGTTATATTCTTAAAATTAAGAATATGACTAAAGAATATTCCAATATGTATTCTTCATATTACAAGGAAAAGAACTTTTTTCCAGACATACAGACATGTTACTTCGTTTTGAATAATGGATCACCACTACTTCGTAAAGAGCAAACTTAGTAGCTTCTTTACACTAAATTGCAAGTAACGTATAACGACAAACAATTTCTCCGAGATATATTCTTTCAAATAATTTTTTGACCCGATCAACTGAAATAATTCTAACACTACTTTTTAGGGAGAGAACCGCCATTGTCCCTTTTCACCATAAAGTCACGCCAATAGCTACGCACAAGCTATTCCTCATCAAAACCACGAGCTTTCAAACGGCCAATTTTCACCCTCTAACCCGATCATCCCCGTCACAATCCTTCTTCTCTTCTTTCTCCGTTTCCTCCTTCCTTTCCTTTTCTTGCTTTCTAAACTCACCCTACTTTCCCTCCCATGCACACTCCCGTACACAATATACACGCACGCGCGCAGAATATAGAGCTCTCAAAATCGCTCCCGCTTACTCGCTCCTCTTTTCACCCCCTACTCTTAAAGTATATCGTTCCAGAGGTAATTTGGCGTCACTCCTTGTGATGTACTCCTATTCTCTCTTTGTTTCTCAATGACAATCGTTGTAAATTACGATTTCGACTTTACGATTCCGGCGGGCTTTCACGAAGAGCGCACCACATATGTGGACACAGTATCACGCGGTAGCCGGCATACCGCGTTGCACGGGGTCGACTGATCAAGGAGGCAGAAGAGGAGGTGGTGCTGATGGTGGTGGCGGCGGTGCTGGCGGCGGCGGCGGCGGCACGGCTACGGCGGCGGTGGCGGTGGTGCACGCCTCGCGCATAAGCCGCGCGCTCATACCTACAAGCGACCCAATCTTCAAACGTTATCCTTGCCCTCCTTCCCGCCCTCCCTTACTCTCTCTCTCTCTCTTCCTCTTTATCTCTCACTCTCTCGATCTTTCTCTCTCCAATTCTCTCTCGCGGTTTCGTTCGTTCGCACGCCCACGTCGTTCCATCTACAACGGCGATATCTCTACCCAGCTTTATCCCTTGGTCCTTAATCACCCAAGCGCACAGGGAAGCGCTGAATGCCCCGAAGAAATCGTCATTTCTTCCTGTTTCGATAAGGAGCATGGACGTGTTCCACACTGCTCAGTCCCTTCTGCTGGATCGTAGATCGAGATGGAGCAGCTTTAGTTAACTATTATCGAGAGAATGTTCGCGCAAAAGTGTGTTTCGTGCACCACCCGCTCTGTGACATGTGATACGCTACTAAAGGTTTCCTGTCTCATGCTGTGATCCGATTCTCGAGACGGAAGTCTCAAATGTTGACAATGTGATCTGCGAAATTTCTTCGCGAATTGATTTATTTCCCTTTACTGAGGTTCAATTATCCCCCAACGGAATAATTGAAAGTATCCACATCACACACACAAAATCGAACAATAACGACACATTAATATAATATTAATATTTCAATTGTTATTCCAATTATAATAATTTTTTCTTATGAGACGGATAATCTAACACTTTTTATAAATTACACATATATAAATACATTTTTTGTTCATAAAAAATAAAATTGTATCTTCAAAAGAGAGTGTGCGGGAAATATATAGGCGGAATTGTAATAAAGAAACATTTTAATTATGTGTTTACCCAAGTATTGTGTAATCAAATGTCTTGAATTAAATGCTCTAAGTTGTTTAATTTTAACACGCATAATTTTTCTAACAGTAATTAATTGAATTAGGTAACATGAAAAGATAAAAAATGGAAATATTAATTTTGTAATTATTAATATGCATGTTGTCGCTATATTTGTTGTGTTCATTATTTTAGATCTATATCTCATACAAAATTAAATTTAAGAAGGAGGTTAAATATTAGTAAACACAAAAGTTTACATACTCGTACACACACACACACATATGTTATGTATATTCTGCAAACGCACACAATTTTTTTTATTATGACAGTACATTTTTATTTATTTACTCTAACTGATATTTGATAATTACTTTTTAATTGTTGTATTTCCAGTATAACAAATAAACGTAAAAACCATTCTCATGTTTCTGTAGCATTGGGTTTTAATCCATCGACATCGTAGTATCAATCGTTTTGCATTTAGGTACATTGCATTTCACACTGATCACATTTCACGTTCTTCGCGTAGTCTCGTAAAGAAAATATAATATAATTCATGCGAACATAAAGTAGCGTTCTGCGTATCTCTGTCATTAAATTATTTTTTTACGGCATAAGTTGGTTATACTTTTTTAATACAATGATAAT